CAAACCTGGGCCTGTGAACTTCTTAAAGAAATAGCACAAGCATTTAGAGAAGTTGCTATCTATAACGTTCCTCCAATTAACCTGAAAATAATTGGGTTCACATTAAAACTTTTAAGGATGAAGAGAATGAGAACCCGGTTGAATAAGTTGAGGTATTTGAAAAAGCTGCCAATGCTAATAATTGGACCTTGGCCAGAAAAATTAAAATCATATCAGGACACTTGTCAGGAATTGCCACTAGTTGGTATAATGATCACAAAACCGATTTACTTTTGTGGGATGATATAATCAACCCCAATAATAGCTTCGTTCAAGCCTTCATTAAGTATTTTTTGACCTCTGAATGTAAACACCAGTGGCAAATAGAATTGAACACCTTAGTTCAAAAAGGAAATGAAAAGATCGACCGTTATACCTACCAATTCAAGAGGTTACTAAGAAGGGTAGATCTAGACCATAAGTTGCCTAAAGCATATGTGATTAGAATATTTTTGGGAGGTCTTCATAGCAAAACAGCTATGCTTATGTCTCTTGAAGACTTCAAAAAGTTAGATGACACAATTGCAAAAGCACGGAAAATTGAAGCAAAAACCTATTATAAGAATAAAACAATAAAAATAAGGCTACCAATAAGTTTATAGATGATCTAACCTAATGAATTCAACAAATAGTGGCAAACTGTAAGTGATTAACTACCGCCCTTGCTGCTAGAATCAAAAATTATTCTGTCTAGCCTCAAAACAACCAAAACAGATCCTGTCAGCCCCGTCCAACAAACAATAGTAACATTGTTTGTTATAATTGCAGAGAAAGAGGCCACATAGCTCAAAATTGCCTCTTCGAATGACGTCAAACCCTAGAAGAGCTTCCATAACACAAGACTGAAGGTACAGACCATCTAAATATTAACTTGTGTGATATTTTTACCCAGGAACTCAAAAGAAAGATAAAAACCACTTCTCAACCTAACCACCAACTCTATGCTATAAAATGTTGTAAAAAACCAGATACAGAGACTAACCCTAATTGGGAAGAAAGGTTAAGAAAAAGGGTAGCCTCAGAGCAAAATCACGAACCAACACCAATCCAACCTGTTCCTATAGACAAAATTATCTAAAAATATATCCAAACTCTAGTCTAACCCCAACCAGAAGTAGAAAAGAGTCCAAGACATACTAGAGGACCCTCTACAGTTGATTTGGCACCACTATACAATATCGTTGAGAACTTGTTAAATCAGTATTTAAACACCACCTATGACCAAATGTTGCAAATACCCAAGCAACACAAAAATCTTGCCCAAGCATTGTATTATCCAAAAATAAGCCCTGTCACCAAGACTAATCTGGTAGACCCTAATTTAAATTCAAGAACTACTGCTGCTAAATGTTATGTTCAGGTTAAAAATAAACCAGTTTTAGCAGTTTTGGACTCTGGGGCCACTGTGAGCATTCAGTTCAAAAAATTAATAGACAAATTGGATATAACTATTCAAGAACTGTCAATAGCCATTGTAGTAATCGCCAACGGGAGTCGAGAAAGGGTTTTGAGAAAAATAGAAGATGTAAAGTTAGCTGTAGACAGTGTACTAGTATCTACCAGTTTCTAGGTTATTGAGTCCTGATGAAACAATGCTTCTTGACATTGACTGGTTCCAAAAAGTCTAGACCCAGATCTATTTTGATAAGCAAAAGTTACTCTTTAGGTATCTAGGAAAGAGTAGCGAAATTCCTATTATACGAACATGTGAGGACAAATTAGAAATCCCTCGAGAAGTATATAGTAGTGATGAAGATAACTTCTTTAATACTTACAAAGTAAGAATGATCTGGAAGAAGTCAAGAATTATCATAGGATGGAGCC